CATTTCTTTTCCTCTCTCCACTGAAACAAAACCACCATTAACTAATTCTTCATTATGCTGGTTTCCTGCAGGATTTTTGATACTAGTGCCTAGTAGTGGTAAGGGCTGGATTACAGTTCAACATACAAAAAGCAGTTTGTTTTCAGCCCTATGTGAAGCTCACTCTCAGGTTTTGAAAGTAATTTTCAGGAGTAGCCTTCCTTAGCAGACATTTTCTGGGATGCAGTCAGTGTTGGCCTTGCCAGGTGCCTGATGTGAGATGCAGTGACGTTACCAGGCTGATTACTTGGATGGCTCTGAAGTGAAGGCATCTGGTTAGGACTGCTGGCTAGTAGAAGAAAAGGCACTAATTAAATATTTCTTGCCTTTTCAGGTTTGTCCCTCTGATTAACCACTTTAAAAATCACTCCAGGGGAAAGCCACACAGTTATCTTTAAAACAGAGAGGCATGATTAAACATTCCTTTGCTAGCAGAAAAATACTGAAGGAAAAGGAAAGCAGGCAGCTCCAGCAAGGCTGGCAGGTTTCTGTTGGATTCAAACTGGCTCTTAAGCCTTTCAGCCTGGCAGGGGAAAGCCTGAGTGATCTTATGGAAGTTGCCAAAGAATCCCATTGCCACACACCATTTGACCAAATTTGCTTGTTTTCCTGAGATGATTTTGCTATCAAAATGTGTCTGTAGGCACAGATACAGATGGATAGCCAAGAGATGGATATCCATTGGCACCTCTTCTTCAGGGCAGCCTGCACTGAACTGGGCATACACCAAACCTATAGCACTGATCAGTAAACTGTTACCATGGCCACTTTCTGACCTTTGAGCCTTTCACCTTGGTTTCAGTGAAAAAACCTCCAATGTGTCAATGTGCACATCACCAGAGCTCTAATTTTAGTCTTGCAAATTACACACTAGGGAAACTTATCTAGAGCTGCCTTAATGATCAGCATTTCCACTGGGCTTTCACCACAGCCATGGTGGGTTTGAGAGATCTTTTCCTCTCTTTCTTATTAACTAATGTCTGTGAGATCCTTACTCATGAAATTTCCTTCCCTGCTGCTGCCAAAATTCAAGCCATAATACCACAACAAATCTATGCTGAGGTCACAAGGTTACAGGCTTGTTCTGTGACCTTTGAAAAGTACTTTATCACAGGTGTTTACACAACTGTGGTTTCAGCAGGGTATTTTTAGAGTCCTAATGCTGCAAGAGAAACCTTTATCAGTGAAAGTTAAACATAATGAGAGTCATTCACCACTAATGCAAAAATCCCAGGTACTGCTTTCATTCCTTCCTTTTCATTTATACACTGGGTAACTCTTTGAATGCTCTTCTGAATGGTCTGCAGCAATCTTCTAAAGGATGTGTGTACACAGAACTTACACAGTGACCTCCAGCTGTATCAAAACCCCCTTTTTAAAATTAAATTATTTCTCGAAAAACTATTCCTCAATACTGTGTGGACTACTGTCAAGTAGAGTGAGTCTGGAAGTAAAAAATGCTGCTAAGTTTGCTAGTAATGGTAAAGAAGGATATAAAATGTTAGATTTCAAGTTATTAACCCCAGATTGGCTGTAAAGCTTCAAATGTTTAAGTTGTTTGCTTCAATTTCACAACCTCCATAAGCTTTAAGATTTTGGCAAGATTTCTACAGACCAAAAGTCCTAAGCAAGACAAAACTGCAAATGTCCCAGTTCGGAATTAAAATAAATTTTGTAACATAACTCTGGGAAAAGAAACCCTCAATGGCACAAAATCTCCAAGCCCACATCTAAATTGTCACAAGACCTTAAGGTATTCAGAGGAGTATGATGGAGATGCTTTTACCTTCTGCTCAAAGCACTCCAAAACACCAACAGCACTTTTATACTTCAGAGGTGGTACTGTTGGACAGCAGACCACAGCAAGATAAAGAAAGTTTGGTTCTGCCAGGTGAAACATGGAAATTGCAGCCAAATCTCATCCCTGCTCATTATGTCTGTGCATGGCACAGCCTTTCTCCCTCCCTTGCTCTCAGTCCAGTGAGGTTTCCCAGGGTAACAATCTGTAGCTACAGAAGCTCCTTTGGAGCCTTAGGAAATTCCCCTTTTTATCTTCCCCTTTGAAACTCAGGTTTGAGTCCTTCCACAGCTCTTCTCCACACCCCCCATGCTGCCAAACCCAGCTTGCTCTCTCCTTCCTAATTCCTAATTCCTCCCCTGGGAGCTTCCCCAGATGAGCTTCCTCAGAGTCTTTGCCTCACCCAGACTCAATATTCAGTGTCAGACTGGACAATGCCAGGGTAGAACACTCCTTCCCCTGCTGCCTTGCCAAGTCCTTTTATCAGAAGGGCCAGGAAAATGCAGCGTTGGGTGGTGAAACACACACACACACACACACACACACAAAGCATCCCCTCCCTCAGACCTTGGGAAATGGTGCTGTGCAGAGGTGGCTCACCCAGCAAAAGCCTTTTCCAGTGCTGTGTGTATTGCTGCCAAAAAAACTCCTTGCAGCAGTGAGCAGATGGAATGGTGCATCTCATTTATACCAGGCACCAGGGCTACTTTGTACGTCCATGACTTTTCTGCTTACTACAGAAAGAGCCATTTCTGCAAAACTAAGGTGAATCTTACTTTTGGTGCATGTTGCTGTTGTTTGTCTGGAACAAGTGTGGAGTGATATCTCTCAAATGCATTGCATTGCTGTGGAAATGCTACACAGAAATCAGGAGAGGGGTTGGGATATGAAAAGTACAGAGCTGAGATGGTCGCAAACATGGGTGCATCCCTGTAAAAATATTACTGTGATTTCAGGAGATTAAAGATTGAGTTATTATTAGTTTCTTTGAACTCTTACTCTGAGATGTCTCAGAGAAGGCTTGACAGAGCCCAATCTTCACTGTATTTATACATATTTTCTGAATCCTTATCTGTCCAGATATGCTTCAGAGAGACTCATGTCTTGGTTTTTGTCAGAGATAACTGAAGGGTTACCCAGGTCTAAACATAACTCTCCATATCAGCACCAAGGCTTGAGGAAACTCTGAATTGCAGCACTTCATACTGAAGGGATCCCTAAATGATTCTTTTCTTCTCACAATCATTCAAGAACCTGAAAGTCCAGGGAGAAGCCTCAAATCTCTCATTCCCATAAATTTAACAGAGGTCACAGCATGGCCAATTCAGCTGAAAAGTGTTATTACAGAAAAACTTGATGATACTTTTATGTTCACTGATGTGAACATAATTCTCTGGGTCTTTTAGCTACATATAGCCTGCCTTATCCACAGAGACACTTCAGCAGATATATATGGTACCATGAGCAGAGTTAAAAGTGATGAATATTCTGATTTATAACTTCTACTGATAACAAGATGATAGAAAAATCCTCAAAATATGGGTGTTATTATATACAATGTGTAACTTCACTTAGCAGATAAGGGATGGGAAATCAAAAACATTTATCACACCTGAGCTGGGGGGACACTTCCTTGAATGACCCTTGTTGCCTGTAAAGGATTGAGCTGACCAATGGGCAAAAATCTTAAATATAGGGTTAGCTCTGTAGGTGCCAAGTGTGGATATGAATCTCCCACCCTTCTCAGTTTATAAGGACCACAAACAAGGAGGAAAATGCATTTATTGAAGTGCTTCTTTTTCTTCCTGACAGATTTAATCATCTAAAGAGATCTCAACCTGCTGAGTTGACATTGCACCTCCAAAAGATCAACCACTGGATCCTAACTACAGAGGCACAAGAAAGTAATTATTATAAATACATTGGTTATGGATGAGGAGCTGGACAAACAGGCCACATGCTCCTCCTTCCACTTTAAACAATTCAAAGCTGTGGTGAGGAGCAAAGCAGGCCCCAAAGAGAACCCCCTGGCAATAATTCTAAAGGAGAGGCTGCCTTCATCCACCTCAGGCTCCAGGTCCTCAGCAGGATCCAGGAGTTTAAGCACACAGCCCAGATAAATATTACTTTGTTAATCTTCATTAGAAATCTACTTTTAAAGCTGATTTGCAGTGAAGTCACTTAGTCAGACGAAATCATTGCACACTAAACAATCCTGTTAGGGATGCTTACCCAAGCAAAGGGCCTTCAATTGCATTTCCATTAGCAGCACTATATGGTTATTGTCCTTAAAGACAGGGCTCTTAGACTTAATCTATTTTCTTAGGGCTGAATTTTCTCAAGAACTAAAAGTTAATTTTTACTACTTTCTGGCAATACGAAATCAGGCTGCCTGCAGATCGATAAAACAGATTTGAGGACTGAAAGTGGCCCTGCCCATTCTGCCAGGGCTGAGAGCTCCCTGAAATTTTAAGAAGTTCTGGATTATCTAAGTCTAATGATGCACATTATTAAATAGAACATTATTTAATGAGAAAGTCACCAGCTGTGGTGAACAGCAGGTGATTTATCTATCAGGAAAAGAGTATTTTTTTCAACAGAAAATATAATGTTTCTCTCTGTTAAATTCTGTACAGCTCAAGAAGGAGGAAAGATGTTTGATCTCATCCTTTTTATTTCTGCAGCAGTTTGCTGGAAGGACAAGTCCTCCCATTAAATGAGGAGAAGATTTTCTGCTTTCCTTGCCTTGTTCCATTCTCTGCCTTCCCACCTGTGGGACCAAGGCAGGGTTCGCCAGTGCTTTACTGAAGTAAGGGAACAGCTCTGACTTCCCCTTCAACCCTGACCTGAAGACAGACAGATTTGGGGAGCCTGAAGTTGAGCCTGAATTTTTGAAAATAAGAAATAAAGTATATATCTTTCCCCAACAGTTCTTTTTAGGTTTTAGTGTACTCTCTGCTTTCTTGTCTGTCTCTCCTGGGAAGATCACACCATATTTTGTGCTATGTTCCAATATATTTGCACTGATTTCTGTAGTTAACTTTGGTTAAAGCCAGGGTATATTTTACTTCAGTTTTCTCCATTTATCAGTTACAAAAAGTGCTTCTAGCTAAGAAATGGTGTCTTATAATATTAATTTATAGTGGCTTTGTTTCTTCTTCAGCCTTGCTCTAAAGGCATTGCTGTAGATGATCCCTTGAAGACATCTCCAAATGATGTTTCCACTATTGTCCCTGATATTGAGGCAGAGCTTCTAATCTGCTACTTGGAAACTGGGGAAGCCTGGTATTGCTCTGGAATCCTTCACACAGGTGAAAATAAATATTGATTTGACACACTGTTAGGCTGAAAGCAAAAATTAAGCAAAGCCTATGAATAAATCTTGTGCAGGAGGAATCAGTCTAATAATGAGAAAAGAGGGATCAATAAAACACAACCTTCCCATGGCACTGTTGCTTAGATTGGGCTGATTCTCAGAATTTGAGACATTCAGCCACAACAGCCATTTATACATTACTGCTCTGACAATGCAGAGGGGAAGGATATTGCAGGGAAGACACATCCATAGTTCATGGCACAGTTAAGACTAAAGTTAGACACATACAAACATGCCCAGCCTCATATGACAGTCACAATATTATGAGCACTTGATCTCCTTCAAGCCAGATTAGGTCAGGGATGGCTTCAAATTATTTCCATTGCATAATCCCTCATGGGCTCATTTGTGATCCACATCAAAGACCAGCACTACCAGCAGTGCATAAAGAAGCCAGAAACAAAACTTGCACATGGTGGAGATAAAAATCCCATTAGTTTCAGATGAGTTGGGATTTTGCTGGGTTTGTGCTGCCTTTAATTAGCAATCAGGCACAACAATCATTTCTGTGTGCACGCCGTGCCAGCAAACACTTCATTACTGAGGCCTCTGCTCGTTTTTTCCCATGTTTGAGATGGATTGAGATGGACACTGCAATTAGTGCAGGGTGAGGGTTCCTTCATGCAGACATCTCAAGTGAGTGCAGCCACAGCAGAAGAGGAGGCACAGGAGGCTCTGGCAGAGGGGAGGGATAACGTGTGGGGTGGAAATGCCATGGTGGCAGCAGGTTCATTTACCTACACATGGCTACACATGGCATGTCTGAGCACCCTGACAGGATGTCTGAGCATCCTGACTCAATGCCAAGGTCCTCAGCTCCCATCCCACCCCTTCCCCAAGCAGTTCTGCCATGGAAAGCCATGGCCACCTGCACGTGTTGTGGGTGAGCATCCTTCAGACCACTCCTGAGTACCATTCTGGGCTGGCAGCATCAGTGCCCAGGAGTAGTTAGATTAGCAACAAAAACTTCAAAAGAAATGCACACCTTGTGCAAATTAAAAACCAACCATGCTTTTTTGTGGTTTCTCAAAGAAAAGGAAAAAAAACCATATAAAGTTTGAGTGGAATCCCAATTTCGGAGAAAATTATAAGTATTGCTCTCTTATTCTACCTGTGACTTCCAAGAACACTAAAATGCAAAAGCCATTTGGACAGGTAAAATAGAACACAAAATACTGTTTTTACCTCATTTAATTCATCTTGATCTCAAAATGGTAAAATGAGATGACCCCAGTGCTACAGAAACTAAAGCCTATCCAGACCTGCTTTCGTTTCTATTGTCTTGAAACAGAAACCCCTGACACAGTGAGAAAATAAATGCAGTCAGATGGAGATCACTGGAAAACTGAAGGAGGGAGATATTTTTCACTCTTTTCTTTATCTGTAATTCCTAGATATAATCATAGCAATTTGTTCTTAACTCCTTTAGTTACACAGCACAAGGACAAATGGCAATCACTAATGCCTATTTTCAATAAAATTCATTTAAAAACTTGAAGAATGGGAAGAAATCTATTGATCATAGTGGGGAACATTTTATAATGAAGGAACTGATACAATACTATACCAGTAAAAAATATTCTGAGACATAATTAGCATAGACAAAACCTGAAATACAATCAATTGCTATGTTTTTTTAAAAAAGAAAAGATTAAATTACTCTGAGCTGTCCTGCTAAAAATAGCTTCCTGCCATCAGTTAACTAGTGCATATAGAATTTTTATTCCCATTGAGTTTTTATGTCATCACCACATTGTAATGGTTTGCTGGTAATCCTTTGGTGTTAATCATGAATCCAAATTAAAATATTTGTTCCTGCATTTATTTGCATTTACTGAGCTATTCTTTCTTTAATTTCATGTAAATTTCACAGCTCCTGCATTCATTTTGGAAGCCCTATTAACAAAAAATCAGCTTTAATATTCTCCCCAACAGTTGTATCAAATACACAGTAGCGAGTTTTGCTAGAGAGAAATCTTATAAAATATCACATTTACAGAAACAGAAAATAGAACAAAAAATTAAGGAACTCAGTTTTCAAGTGTTCATAAACAGGCATCTGTAGGGGAATAGCTTTCCTATTCTTAAGAAATGGAGTCCAAACTATATCATCAGTTTTAGGTCCTGGATGGGAGGCCAAGTCTGGGTCCTCCTAAAAAGTGGGAATTGTCTTCTCTGATTTCTTAATATTCAAGGCTGCCTTTAGCATCACTGATACAATTGAGGACACTGGCTGATCATTTGTCAGGCTGATGCAAAAGATTTACCCTTTGTGATCAAAAACTATTAAAACCACTTCTCATCCATCACAGCTCTGAGCAAACCTGCCATGGATTGACCTCACCAAGCAACATTTGCTGCAGCCTACCTGACCAGCACTTTTCATCATAAGACAGCCATCAAAATAATTCCTAACTTGCAGTCCGAAGGTATAAAATGAATCACACGATCTTTACGTGCCCTGTGGTCCTTTTGGCCCAGGCATTATGGCATACCAGGGTTTAATGATCTTAATAACCCCATATGGCTTGCTGAGAAATTAGATTTTCCCTTTGGTTGCAGAAGGCAATTTTCAATTATAGCAGATGGCAAAACAGTGAAGGTCTGAGAAGTCAAGAACTGACTAAGAAACCTCAGATTCGTGCTTAGGCCTTATGTTGCTCAGCCTAATAATGTCAGTGGTTGAAATTTTTGCCCCAGATGAAAACAGCCTTGAAGCAGAGCGCAGCATTTCAGCAGAACAGTCCCCAGTTCCACCTGCTCTTCAGAGGCCAGGCACAACAGACACCCAGAGAGCCACAGGAAATGGGAAAACAACCCTGGGCGTCTCACATGCACAGCTCAGCAATCATTAACTCTCAATTTTATTGGAAATTGCAGAGAGCCATGCTGGACTCTGGGACAAATGGAGATGGAGATTCTTCAAAACATATGAATTTTTTAATGAGATTTTATAAACCCCTATAGGTTTTTTTTGTTGTTTATCTCGCTTTTTCACCCTCCAAGCAAGGTAAAGTAAATCTGCATTGAGAGTCTTGCTGTCTGCACCTGGGAAAACCAAACAGAACCTTTCTATGGGAAAGATTCTTTTCCCACTGCACCTGATGCCCATGGCACACACGGGACTGCCCTGGGAATCAGCTGGCCAGCAGGAGAAAGAGAATGCTCACCATGGGCTGCAAAGTGACACCTCTTGCCCATGGGATTGCTCTCCTGCCATGGGAAGCCCACAGCAGGTGGTGGGAGGTGCACTGGGAAGTGCCACCTGCAAGGGTGTTTGTGACCTGCCTCCCACCCTGGCCCTCACTCCCTGTCCTCCTTCCCTTGAACTGGAAATTGTGGATGTAAGGGTTGAGGGGAGGAAGAGGAAGCAGATTTTATAACCTGTTTCTTCAGTATTACCTCTAGATAATGCCTGGGAAAAAAGTTCATGGTAATGAGGAGTGTTTTAAGGAGCTATTTAAGATTTTTAGGGGTTAGCAAAGATTTCCCTGTGTCCTTGCAGACTCTGCTCCACAGCATGCCAGTTCCCTCCCTCCCTCCCAGAAAGGCTATGCACAGAGAATGCAATAAATCTGCACAGCTTTTTTCTGCTCTGCCTTTTCATGTGTTCAGTGGAAGGCAGGGCTCTCTAATGCATCCTGCACAATTCACAGGGAGACACATGAAGTAGAAAATGGCACCTCTGTTAAGCAGTACACGATTGCTTTGGTGATGAGTTAACAGAGGGAATCTCTTATGGAGGCACAGTGGGGGGAAAAGCCTAAAACAGCTGAAGGTTCACGGATTTCCTTCTAAATCCTCTGCATTTTTCCCAGTGACTTTTCAAACACTTAAAAAAGGTCTAAAATAATTAACAGTGATCAAGCTTTGTGCACCATCTCAAAAGACATCTGATCTTGGTCAGTGTATTACAGACTGGATCAGCCAGGACCCTTCAACCCAGATTATTCAAAATTTCAGACTGAAAATTCAATAGTCAGCTACTTCTGCATTCCCTAGCTTCCTTATTTTGCACCTTTAAAATAGGACTATATTAAAGTAACTTGAGAATGGAATTCTAGTGAAATATTAAATAATCAAAAATAAATAATGCAATGATGTGATGATATAGTGCAGTCAGTGGGCATTAAAATGGAGGCAGAATAGAAGAGCTCTAGAAAAACAGATTTTTAGGTTGAAATAGAAAAAACAGGAAATGCAATGACTGATATTCCTAATCTGTGGGAAGTCTGTAGTGCAGTGTATACTTTGCTCTAAACGACTCTCCTCATCTTTTTACCCCTTCAGAAAAGGGAATAAAAGAAAAGAGAAGAATTAGCAGCACCAAATTACTTCAGCAATTGTATTAGGCATACTGCAATATACATAATAGATGAGATATTATTAATATAGAGCTATTCCACTGAGATGCTCTGGATAATATAAACTAGAAATGCTCTTAAAAAATAATTCCTTCTCATGCAGCATTTCAAATATTTCTATGTACTTCAATTTTTTATTACTTTTTAAATGAGCATCATTGGATGCTCTGGATTCTGATTCTCAACCCTGAGTTGTGTTATTTCCAGGCTGACATATCACTGACATGGTTCTTATTTTATGGGCTGAGATTTTTCCCCTTTGTGGTAAAAGACTACATTCCCCTTGACTTTGATGATGCTAGTCCACAAAAACTTTTATCTGCACAATTTGTGGTGGGATCCTATTAAGAAAATGCACATATTGGGGGGGGGAAAAACCCTGGAAGACATACAGCTCCTTGTAGAAAGAAAAGTCTGACAACATTGAACATGACAGCAGTGCTAATGGTGTCAGGAAGTTTGGTGGCACAGCAGGAAAACAAGAGGGCAACACATTATGAGAACAAGATAGGAAATGCAGCGTATCTCCACTTGTGCTAAGATGT